CTTAATCTGTGCTGATTTCTCTTTCTTTTAAATGTTAAAACAGTTGCTTTCAGGATTCTGAATTTGAAGATTAAAATACTAAATTAGTGTCTAGTATTAGGTCTTTTGTAAAATTTATATTTTGCACAATTCAATGCATCCTTGCTGAATAAGTATGTGAAGTATTAGATAAAAATAAGTTATCATTTTTTAAATACTCTTTGAATAATGTTGTGCTGACTCCAAACGAACATGATTGAATAATATATTGATTGTAAATACATACATACAGTCAAGGCCGAAATGATTTACACCGCTGGCAAAATCTGACTTAAAGTAACTTTTATTTAGCCAAGTAAATAAGTAAGTCAGGCTTCTGCCAAAAAAATACTAAGAAGATGCACAAGAGGCATCATATTGAAAACAAACATACTTCTCAGCTTTTATTTACAGTTGAACAAAAGCTTTAAGAATTTGCCAGCAGTGTGAGTAAATTCGGGTTTGATATATATATACATATATATATATAGTATGCATGTGATTAACCGTAAAAAAATGTATATTAACCCAGGCACCAGAATCCAAGAAGGAGACTCCAGCTCCAGTGGCAGAAGCTGCTCCACTTGTAAAAGCCAAAGAAGAGCCCAAACCTGCCGCTCCACCTGCACCACAACCAGCCCAGGACAACAAATCAGTCGCAAGCACAGACGCCTCCCCCAACATGCCCCGAAAACTGGAGAAGAGGAACTCGCTGCAGCTCTTCTTCAAAAACCTGGTTAAGTAGAAACACGAGAGTAGAGAGAGTTGATCCAGGACACATCAGCAATCTGTGTAGTTTAACTGTATGTAGTAAATGCTGTCAAGAAAACATTTAGTCCTTCTGTCCGACATCTAACCGTCCTGATTATTTTGGTTTTGCTTGCTGGCTATAAAATAATCGTAATGATCTTCAAGGTGATGAACTTAACACTAAAATCAGCTTTGACAGCATATGGACACTAGATGGCATCAGTTTCCACCATCTAGAGATTATTAAATGGGTTTCACATAAACACCAGCCCTTATTTATATTATTCTGCTTTAATAATTTCTGATTTACATAATGTGTATTTAATGATGATTCCAATATTTTAAAATGTTTGTAAGATACTTAAAATAAACTGAGCACATGAGAAATATTGATAGCACTTTATTTTACAGTTGTGCATATTTGTTGTATTAATTACACATGGCAGAAGGTGATTTACTTGCTTTTCCAGTACAAACATTCCTGAATCAAGGTACATTTGCATTTAAGCACAATAGCTTCATGCATTTTATTCATTTTTAAGTCGTTTAATTTCTAAAACAAGGAGAAAATCTCTGCTAGTGGCCCCAGAAATTACTTTTAATTAGAAGATATTTGTAAATATATATTTAAATCAATTACATTTGATTAATTTGCTTATCATGTGTCTTGATTTAGAAATGTTTAGATTTTTGAACTGTAAAGCAATTCAGAAATACAGAGTAAGAAATGTAGTTTTGCTGTGTAATACTACTGTCGGTTCTAACCCTAAAGCTATACCCCTAAACCTAATGTTAACCCCGCTTTATTACCAGAGCTTTCACAGAAGTGCACATACTGTAAAATAAAGTGCAAAGTAAATATTACATGTTATATTTTTATTGCATGAATAATATTGCATGAAATAATAATAATAATAATATCTAATAATATTGCATAAATCTCATCATCTATGTATGTTTTTTGAATTGTTGCTGCAATATTTTCAACTTCCTAAATAAAAAGTAATTTGTGTAATTATGCACAGTTATGTGATGATTACAGTAAGTCTTAAAAGTATGAAATTATCATCATTAGGGCCAGAAACTGGTAACCAATCACAATAATGCTATATGTTTAGTGTCTAATTCATGTTAATTTGTACAATCTGATTTGTACATTTTAGTATAATTTGCTCATCGCCCACTGAGGGTTAGGGGTGGGGTTTGGAGCCACGCCTCCTTTTAAAAACATTACGTTTTCATATTAAGTCTTATAAATTTGTACGATTAGTCACTTTTATGTAAGCCATAACACTCAAGACCGGTTACTCACTGAAGCTAAGCAGGGCTGAGGCTGGTCAGTACCTGATGAGAGACTACATGGGAAAACTAGGTTGCTGTTGGAAGTGGCGTTAGTTAGGCCAGCAGGAGGCGCTCAACCTGCGGTCTGTGTGAGTCCTAATACTCCAGTATAGTGAAGGGGACACAGTGAGCACCGTCTTTCAAATGAGATGTTAAACCGTGGTCCTGACTCTCTGTGGTCATTAAAAACCCTATAGCACTTCTTGTAGAGAGCAGGGTGTCCTGGCCAAATTCTCGTCATCAGCCCTTGCTGATTATGGCCTCTGAATCATCCCCATCCACCGAATTGGCTCTATCACTGTCTCTCCACTCAATCCTATAGCTAGTGTGGGGTGAGCGCACTGGCGCATTGTCCTGTGGCTGCCGTCGCATCATCCAAGTAGATGCTGCACACTGGTGGTGATGAGGAGAGACCCCCCCCGCTCATGATTGTGAAGCGCTTTGAGTGTATGGCCATACACAATAAATGCGCTATATAAATACACACATTACATTACGTTACATTACAAGTGTGATTGCAGAGTGACACATAAAA